TGAACACAAGTAGATGAAGCATGTAAGAACATGAATAGAGTCCAGTAAACAAAATCAAATAACTTAACGGTAGACACATATAGTAAAAGAGTAAAGAAAACATAGCAAAGATTAACAGGAGTAACATGTATAGTAGCAAAGAAAAGATAAAAGATAGTACATGCATAAAATAAAAGAAATCGCACGAGCAGGGTATAGACAAACACACATAAAGCAAAGAAGAAGAAAAATCAGAAAGATTTTTTCTAAAAATCCTTTCAGAAACCCTAAAATTAGAGAGAAGCGAAACTTTTGGGGAAAACACTTTAGATGTCAAGAAAAGTATAGATACAGTGTAGATCTAACCAAATAATGGTGAAAGAACCTCGAATAGCTTAGGGTTTCGGAGAAACCCTAGAAATGAGAAAGGTTTGGAAACAGATCCGATCTTGAGTCGGAGAGGTCAGGAATCAGGTTCCTGAGCCTTTAATCTGCTGGAGCATGGCTGGAGAAGCCATGGAATCAAAGATCGAAAAAGATCGGAGGGAGAACCATTGAAGTCAGCCTTCCAGACATCGAACATTCAAGGTCTAATGGTGGAGAGGGTGGGTAGAGACCATTCATGGCCTGGTAAGCCATGGATTCCGGTGAAAAATACGGTGAAGGAAGGTGGGAGGAGGCTAGGGTTCCGAAGAACTGATGAGAGGATTTGAGAGTGTTTTGGGATTCCAGGGCGGCGGGTCAGGTGAGAATGAGGGGGATTAGGGTAGGTCGTTTAGTTTAAATATGGAAGGGTGAGTTTTGGCCGTTGATCTTGAGTGATCAACGGTCCAGATTTAAGTGGGTAGGTGGGGAACGGGTTGGGTTGTTTGGAATTGAGTCGTGGGTTAGGTCCAAATTGAAACTGAGCCGGTTTAATTGGGTAGAATTGGGTCAATTTAGGGGCCAAAATTGAAATAAAATGGGGCTGTAATTGAAATAGAAATGGGGCTAAATATTAAATAGCCAATTTTCCCTTTTTTATTTATAAAAAATAGTAAAGATGATTTTAAAAGTAAATTAAAAATACTGGAACAATTAATAGTGTATAAATATTAATTTAAAATTACTGGACCTAATTTTACAATTATAAAATGCTTTTAATCTTAAAGTAGTCTACAATTGCAATTATATGCAATTTAGTCTTTTAAATACCAAATAAATTTGTAAAAAATATATAAAAAAAAATCACCTTAGCTATATTTTGATGTAAACATGAGAATAAAATAGTTCATTCACCAAAATGATAAACTTTGGGAATAATTACTGATTTTTGTATTGCTAAAATGGACAATAAGTTGATTTAAAAAATCTTAAAAAATTAGGAAAAATACCAAAACACTTAGGTATGCTTATATATGCATATATATGCTATTTTGAAAGTACTTTGTATATAAAAAAATTACATAGGGAAAAATTGGATATCAACAAAGAAAAGAAAGACTTCCAAAAAGAAGTCCCCTTCAAAGTCTGCTGATACAGAGCCTTCTGTCTTGGCAAAAACAACCTGGTCTGCCAGGAAATGTAGGAAAGTGCAAGCAGTGGAAGAAGAAGAAGAAGAAGAAGAAGAAGAAGAAGAAGAAGAAGAAGAAGGGGAGGAGAAAACTATAGTGAAAGAAGAAGAGAAAACTGATGAGGATCGGGACAAAATGGTGAAGTTTGGGAAGAGAACAATCTTGAAGGAAAGTCTCCTCAGGGACTTGGAGGAGGAAAGAAGGGTAATGTTGTTGGAGAAGCTAGAACTTCAGGTGTGGAAGGACATGGTCCTTCAAATGGAAGGAAGACTAGCCCGAGCAAAAATTGTGGAGTTTATGGCAAAATGTGAAATCAAGAATGTTAGGGTCACCAGTGTAGTGAAAGGGGTGACTGTGAGTTTTGATGCCAAAGCACTGGGAGAAATTCTAGGGGTATATGCTGAAGAGTACAATGACTACAAGAAACTGAAATGACCAAGCCTAGAAAACATACCCACCTCCCTTGCCATTACAAGAAAATTTGCTGACAATGACTTAGAGTTACAGCCCATGGTTGTGCACAAAAGTGAGATGAAGTCTACCCATAAGCTGCTATTTGAATTTGTCAACAAGATTGTTCTGCCCAGGCAGGAAAGAAGGCATACTGCAGCTTTCATGGACCTGGTCCTTATGGAATGCCTGGATAGTGGGAGGCACATAAATTGGTCGGGGTTTACTATCCAGCTCCTTGATAAGGTACTCACTGGCACCAAAACTCATGCCATACTGTATGGTTTCATTCTCACCACTGTGTTGGCTCACTTCAAGGTTCCCATAAAGAAATGGGATGTTAGCACAAGCAAAGATCATTATGGGGCCAACAACTTGACTTCTTGTGACTATAAAGTCCATGCTGCTGCCAAAGAACCTGGTTCTTCCAAGCAGGTTCCTATGAACCGGAAAGTGCAACTTTGGTGCAGTAGAGTGAGGCTAAGGACGCTGAAATTGGGAGGCTGAAGAAAAGGCTGGCTGAAGTATAAAATTAGAGAGATGCTCTTAAAACTGAGCTTGCAAAGGAAAATGAGAAGAATGAAGGCATTCTTCATGACATGCTGAAGCTGCTTCAGGCCAGAAACCAAGAACCCGGTCCTTCCCAGCCTTGAAACCTTCCTAACCTAGTTAGAAAACCAGTTACCCGGATGGGATATTTTTTTTGTCATTTTGCTCATGATGTAGTACCTTTATTTCCTTCTATGCTTTGTGGATGACTTTTATTAATGATAATCAACTACTTTTGCTCTAATTATTTATTGATGTTTCTTAGATGGCTAATATCATTATATTGGTTAGTGATACTTGACTCCATGATTGCATTTGAAGTAGCCTAAATGGTCATGAGTAAGATCTACTAAAATCTGGTTATCTAACATAATTATGTAAGTTTTCGATAATGCCAAAATGGGGAAGATAGGTTGTGCTTTTACTTTGGACTGTGATGTTTATAACCTAATGAACCTGTTCCTTGATGATTTGTGACTTTAAAATGGAAAGTGTTCTAATATTGTGTTGTTGTTGAAGCTGAGTTGAAACAGGTTTCATGCTTATGAAAAGCACTGAGTTTATCATCATCAAAAAGGGGAATTTGATGGCCTGAGTAAGTTTGTTTTGATGATTGACAAAGAAACACACGCATGAACCAGGAACATACACAGTATACACAAACATGGGCGGATTCAAGCACAAGTCATGCACGTGAAAGAGATAAGCTTAAGTGGTTATATCTGATATCTCCTGAACGAAAAGGTTGCATAAATGATACTGAGCAGGACTCCTTACTCGAAGAGAACTATATCCTAAATAAGGGAGGAGTTAGAAGTTGAAGATAACTAGAACTTTTCTACCAAGGAAGAGTATAGCATTAGAACTCTAGTTAGTTCTTATTCTACTGACTCTATATATGTCAGTTTGTTCTCTTTTACAGGTGACGCCCAAACGCTGAAGTTAAGCAAGAAATGAGAGCAAAATAGCAAGGCATTTTGCAAGAAATTCATGTGTAATTCATGTGTGCGAACCTAAAGCTACATGAACCATATAGAAGAACCAGTTCCAAGTGTATGTCTTTTATTCTAGTTCAATTGTAGTAGGCCTTTTGAGTTGTACCTTTCAGCTTTATCTAGAAGCATTTGTACTAGGTACTTTGAGTTGTAGTATTCAAGTTAGAGTTCACTTGAAGATTGTCGCAACAACTTGAAGTTGGTTGCCACAAAGGGTTAGAGGTAATCCTTAGGTTTACAAGAGTTTTGTAAACGTTATTTTGGCTCAGTGATTTAGTGATGTGTTGGGAAAAATCCTACTGGGTAGTAGGTCATGGTTTTTTCACCTTTTGAGACGGGTGTTTTCCACGTAGAAATACGTGTGTTCGTTACTTTCTGCATTTATTATTCCGCAACCGTAGTGTAAGGAACACATAGAAGAACCAGATCCTTCTATAATCTGTGCACCGCAAAAAATGGGACATCACACAATCTACCCCCTCTTGTGCATTATTAAAGTATAATATATCGCATTGTAAATAAATAAGAGTAAAACTCACCCTGAAGTTGGTTCCTTTTTTGGTATAAAAATCTAAAAAAGAAAGTTTAGTATCACTATTTTCATGAGCGGTCCCTAACAAGCATATTACTTCCTCCGGTTCACAATAAGTGTCCAATTTACTTTTTCATTTTGGTTCAAAATAAGTGTCCAGTTATGTAATCAAGAAAGAATTCAATTTGTTTTTACAAAATAACCCCTATGTACATATCCCTAAAAAGTTTTCTTACTCCTCACATTAAATATTTAATTAGGGGTAGTTTAGTCATAGTAGGTATTTTTGTATAGAATTTAGTATTTCCTTAATAGGTGTGCTAAAAGTAAATTGGACACTTATTGTGAACCGGAGGGAGTATTTCTTAGTAGGATAACATTACACAGAGAAGTGTTAGACTTCACAAAATTGTTGAGCTGATTAGTTGTATTTGACCATCATTAATTAGGCAAGCAAACATCTCCTAGGACGTAGTTGAACAAAATTGGAAGGATCAACGTACAACTGTCCGATAGGAGAAACTATTTGCAACACAATAAAATTATATTAAAAAGAAGAAAAGAAAGTTAACAATTGCTGTCTTCTTTTTCTTTTTCTTTTCTTTTTAATTATTTTCACGGTTTGTTAGGTGCTTAAATGTTTTATATGTGCATGAATACCGGTGTAACCGTGGAAGAGTACTACCATCCTAATCCCATGAAGAGTACTACCATCCTAATCCCATGGTGTCAGAGGCGGACCCAGGATTTAAGCCTTACGGGGTACCATTATTTTTAGTTTGCCAATCACCAACAATAAAGTTCGGGTGTAACTCTTTGAAATAACTATGATAATTTATCATCAAAATAAAAACATCAATATTATCAAATACCACTAACTTGATACTAATATAACAAAAGTATATTGTCCACTCATAGTTAAACTCGACGCGTTTGCATATTTTAAAAACGGTCAATAATAGCATCATTGCTTATATTTACAAACACTTCCCTCTCAAAGTAACAAACTAAACAATCATTTAAAAATGCATCACCAATACTACTACGCAATTCATCTTTGATGTACTTCATAGATGAGAATGCTCTTTCCACCGTTGCAGTTGCGACAAGTAAAATTAAAGTCAACTTCACAAGCAAATAAACAAGTGAATAAGTCTCCACAAGATTTGTCTCAACCAATGCTTTCGCCAAATCACCAATTCCTTTCAAATCAGAGAACCTAGGGTCACCATGTTGCATATGCCATATGAAAGTGTCAAGTTGGCGACTAAGATCTCGAAGCTTCAATTCACCAAACTCATCGGGATAATGCTTGGCCAATGTCATTATCCTTTCCTTATCAAAATTAGCAAATGAGTTAGCCGGATTCAAGCTAGCCATACCAAGAAGCAGGTTACTACTCACAACATCAAAATGACTATTAAGCTCCAGAAGTTGCAAATCAATCACGGCATAAAAAAGCTCAACACGTAAGTGATGTGAATAAGTAACACTAGAAGGCCTATGCTTCGACTTTCCAGGAATATAGAATTCTTCCATCTTGGGCACCAAAATATCATGTTTTGCACAAAATAAATATACTTCATCCATCAATGGTTCACATCCTTTATCTCTCATTTCTTGCAACCTTTCCTTTGTGATATCAAGAAATACCATGGCATTGACAATATCTTGATCTTTCTTCTGTAATGCTTTGCTCAACTCGTTTGACATTATCAATACTTTCAACATTAAGTGAAGCAAGAAAACAAATTCAAATGCTTTAATTTTACTAGAAAAAGCTTCTGCTTGCAACCTATCATTGACATCACCTTCACATTCAATCACCCCAAGCACATGAACAATAGAAGAAAATAAAATAACAAAGTTATCCAATGTTTTACAATGTGATCCCCAACGAGTGTCACCTTGCCTTTGAAGCCCCCGCTCTTGATTTAATCCTTTCCCACTTTGAACTTCACCACTCTCTAACAATTTCTCCAACAATTCTACTTGATGATCCCGAAGTTGATCTCTACGCTTAAAAGAAACTCCAATTATATTCAACACGTTAGTAACAATAGCAAAGAAAGTCTCAACCTCCTTGTGTTTTTTAGCAACAGCTACAAGCGTCAGTTGTAATTGATATGCAAAACAATGAACAGAATATGCCCATGGAGTTTCTTTCAAAATTAAAGCTTTAAGGCCATTCATCTTTCCCTGCATATTACTAGCTCCATCATAGCCTTGTCCACGTATTTTGGATGGACTTAATGAGTGTTTCATTAGCAAAGAAAGTACTGCTTCTTTTAACGACTTTGCAGAGGTATCACTAATACGAACAAGACTAATAAATGGCTCGTTCACTTGGACTTTTTTGTCAACATACCGCAAAGCAAGGGCCATTTGTTCATGGTGTGAAATATCCTTGGACTCATCAACTAATATCCTAAAATAATCTCCATCCAAGTCATCAATTATAGCTTTCACGGTCTCTTGTGCACAAGCACTCACAATATCCTTTTGAATTTTTGGCGAAGTCATCATATCATTTTTTGGAGCATGTTTTAATATAACTCTATCTACATCTGGAAGCCTATTTCCAAGCCATTCCAAAAGCCCTAGAAAAAGGCCTTTATTTTTTGAAGATTCACTTTCATCATGACCACGAAAAGACAATCCAAAGTCCAAGAGAAACCTTGCAACATCAATTGAGGCATTTAAACGAATTCGATATTCAGTTTTTTGTTGATCGGATTGCTTTTCAAAAGCAGCTTGAATTGATTGAGATTGATTTGACAAGGCTAACATATTGTTGAAGCACTTATGGTGGAGATTACTTGCTTCACCAACATGTAGATCAAATCTTTCGGTTGCTTTATTCCAAGCCTTAAAGCCGGTTTTTGTGAAAGAGTCACCTGTGCTTCCATTAACGTAATTATTTTTGAATAAATAACAACATAAACAAAATGCGGCATCTTTCTTCACACTATACTCTAACCATCTAGAATACGAACCTTTAAACCAACCCGAACTAAATTGGCGCATTTTCTTCCCAAATAAAGTTTTAGGAAATTTGTGATCTGGTTGGCAGGGCCCTCTTTGGATGTAGTGTCTTCTCACTTCATCCCGTATTCTAGGGCTATATCTATCAATGGGTATTCTCTCTCCGGGGTCGGTATTAAGTGATTTCACATCAAACTCTTCTACAAGATGGGAGGAATTGTCTCTAAAACTAGAACTTGATTGAGAAGAATTAAACCTCGTCAAAAATATGTCCATCTCTATTCACATCAAGAGAACTTCCTACAAAGCAACAATGCCAAGCAAAACAATATTTTTAATATGATTAATCACTCCTTATTTTATTATAAGTCATAACTATATTATTATTATTATTTTATTAAAGATAGAAGAATCACTTACCAATTTCTGAAAGATATCCTTGAAATCCAAATACAATTTGGTCTCAAATCATCCACTTCACTGAAATAATATTTCAAATAGCATTAGCACAAATCTTCAAATACCTATGACATTAATTTATTAAGATAAAAAATTAACACACCAACTAGGTTAAGTCCGCTCAAACAATGAATTCAAAAACTAAAAGAAGTACACCTTTTGGGGCCTTAAAATTTTTGGGGCCTAAATCAAAGGCTTTACTAGCCTCAACAAAATCAAGAAAAATTACAGAAAATTCAGAGATTCAATCAAAATAGAATAGCCAAAAGTGAGAACAAGACACAAATAAGAGGCAAGCAAAACCTTCTAGTTAAGCCCCTTCTCAATCGTATTTTAAAAGGGATTTTTTTAAACCCTAAATTTGAAACTGAAATTTACCATTAGAAAAGTGGAAACAAGATGGAGAATTCCAAGTATAATTTTCAAAATCTTACCCAGAAAAAGATTCGACAGCTGCTTGATCCCTGAAGAAAGAAACGTGTGATGGTGAAGGATGAAATTTGTTTTGGGTTTAGACTTTAGAAGAAAGAACTGATGTCAAAGAGAGAGAAAAGGGAGTAGGCGTTAGAAATTTGTTTTGGGTTTAGAAGAAAGAATCTGATGTCAAAGAGAGAGAAAAGGGAGTAGGTGGAATTAAGATTAAATTAAAGCTCTGACCAAATGAGACCCAATCAAAAAAAAATTGATTGTTGGACTTGAGTTTCGAACCTAAGTCATGAAGAAGGCAGCTACTCCAACAAAGCAACTCTTCTATCCAATCTTTGTGATTGAGGGTGCCGCACAATATATTTATAGGGGTCCTGCCTGTATTAATTTATATATATAGAATATATATACAATATTTTTACCGAGGCCAACGGGTGCCCCCCGCGTATGTATCGTATCATTTGTACTTTCTTGAGTCTTATGTACTGATTGTCTGATCATATGGTTTTAGGTTGATGTACTGATGAAGGCTTTCAACTTATTATCGTTTGTGTTTCTACTTATTAACGTCGTATTTGTGTCCACTCTGTTCATAATAAGCTCCTGTTGCGAACAAAGATTACAGGTTTTAATTAAATAGAATGATCAGGTCAAAACTATCGGATTAAAATGGGTCAAGCAAAAATAAGGATTATAACCCGATATAATAAGTCATTATTCTTCTTAATTTCCGTTTACGAATAGATATTCCACGAAAAAAATATGCAGCAAATTCAATTCTTGTGATCAATATTTGTGCAAGCTTTTGAGAGTGCAATCACTAAAATTAGGTGGAATGCTCATGTAATCAGACAAACATGCCAAAAGTAACCATTAAAAAAAACTGGCATTCATGCTAAAATGAGGATAATGCCATTAATTCTTGGTCAACCACTTGGGAGATGCATCAACACTAGAAAATTCAAATAATTAAGACCTTCATAGGTTAATTTCACAAATAGTTACTCAACTTTTATTTTGTATTAAGTTCACTAAATATTTATTTTTTTCATGAAAATGTCACTCTTCAACTTTATCTGAGTATCATACAAAGTCCCTGAATAAAATTTTGTATCCAAAAAGTCATTCAACTTTATCTAAGTACCATAAAAATGTAACGTAAAAGATTCGATTTGCTCCTGAAAAATGGTGAAAATAAGCTATATATAGCAAAATAGTACTTATAAACTCTTACTAAATTAAGCATATAAAGTTAATTTGTCAAACACTACCGATATCAAGTCGGATTCTCATGAAACTCCATTTATTATGTTACAACTTACCAGTCCAAAATCAAAGTAATTAGATATATGACAAAAACTCTCACTTAATACAAATCCAGTGAGGAAAATAACTAGACAAAAACACTCAATAACGAAAACAAAAAGAACAAGACAAACAAAAATACAAACAAACCAACAAAAAAGAACTAAATTATACCCCTTCACTTTTTCCACAATTAACATCTCTCTGAATTCTCATTATGTCCAGAACTCTTTGTCTCTCTAGGGATATCCAATTTGTCAAAACCAAACTCATTTGGTCCCCTTAACAAACAAGAACAATAATCATCAATCACCATTATTTATCAGCAGTGATAAAGACGTGGACGTTTATTTCCCAACAAATCCTGGCCCATATTCTGTTGCAAAAAATTGGCTTTGTCCATTACCACTTTTAATGCTCTTCTCAATTGCACTAACCCTTCTTCTCTACAACCATTTTCCAACATTTGTACCCATAAAATACACTTTATTCTGCCTCCTACTGTTGCCATTTCTGCCCTTATAATTTTCCCTTGTACTGTACTTAATGCTCTTCTTAAATCCATCATAATTTCTGGCCTATCCTCGCAACATATTGTTGCTTTTACTAATAATGTTCCAGAATTATTACTGTTACAGTAGCTTAGGTTAAGTTCATCTGATTCACATGGAAACATGAATTTCTTCATTGTTGTTTGATCATTACTGCCCATGTAGGTCATGAAATCATCGGTGTCGTCGTCGTCTTCGGACATTGTTGCTCCTAGTTCTGATGTTGTCTTTTTAAGCTCCCTTACACATCTTACTGCTTCTGCTAGTAAAGATGCCTTGTCTGTCTGCAAAATATTTGCATGACCAAATGAATTAAGTTAGATCGATAATTTTCACATTTGTTTTTTTAGGGTTTTTATGTAAAAAGAGTTTGTCAATGAGAGATTAACGTGGATCAATGCCTTCTTGAGCAAGAAAATGTGTTCTTTATTTTAAGGGGAAGTCTAGAAAAAAATATAATTAACATCTTGGTCGTTCTAAATTGACAAATATTTTGACCTAAATTATTTAGCCATAGATTTTGGCAAAAAACTTCAAAAAAAAAAAAAAATTGAAAACATTATTTGTTCGTGTAATATGATCAGTTTTTAAAAAAAAATTAAAATTTTCAAGTTCCTAAAATCTAGTTTAGGGTACTTTTTAGGTGAAAATTTTTCTTTCACTAATAAAATTTTAAGTTTTGTTCAAATAAAGTGCATGTCCAAATACAACTTCAACGTAACCTCCAAAAATTATTTTTCAACACAACTTCAAATATATATTTTTTAAGTTTCAACCAAATCTATATCTCATCATCTCAGACTCAAGTGACAAAAAAAGGACAGAAGGAACTAATGATCTAACAACGTACATCAAACTACATAGGATGGGAGGATATAACTTTTAGGAAAGGTGACAACTATATTAGTCAAAAACATCATTATGAAAAATAACCTAAATTATACCCTAAATTGCATTAATGAAGCTCCACTTCTAGAAATTAACAATATATGAAACCTAGCTATCATATATTACCTGGTGGGTAAAACCAAAAAGCAAAGAACTATTAGGGCCTAGGGACTTCATGATTATTCAACAGAACGTACATAATATTTCAAATTAATATTAGACTAAGATAGTATTAGCTACGTAGAGGTGGAAAAATCTAGCCATTTTTAGTAACTAGGTCAAAGGTTCGAATCGTGGAACCAGACATTAATATTTGTATTAGAGTACGATGTCTACATCACACCCCTAGGTTTGCGGTCTGATAGGTTGTCTACGCCGCACCCACACCCCTAAGGTTGCAACCCTTCTCCGGACCGTGCGTGAATACAGAATACTTTGTGCATATTGAATTATGGCATGTTTGTTGACTTGACCAGACTCGACCATTTGCCACCTCTAAGTCATAATATGGATCAAAGTTGCAAAATAATGAGTCAAAATTGAAAAAAAACTTACTTTAATAGTGTTAGGAAGGAGATTACGAAGGGTAGCAAGATGGCCATTGATTCTTTTTCTTCTCCTTCTTTCAGCTTCACTGTGACTTTTATTAGCTGCAATTGCTTTAGCTTCAGCCATTGATCTTGGACTGACTACACTTGAACTTTCCACATTAAACATTTCAGCAGAAGAATTTATAATTCCATGTAGAAAATTATATGAATCTGAACAACCCCCTAGTTCATAAAAGCTTGGAAATGAATGGTTTATCATATTTTCTTTAAAAACTTTCACAAGTCTATAATGTAAGAAAAAGTAGGAATCTTGAAAAAGAAAAGGGAAGAATATATGATGATGATTTAAAAACCTGCTGATTAAGAGGTTTCTGAAAAAATGTTCTGAAGATTCTGTAACATATATTCTCACAAAATTATTTTGGTCAGAGAAGAGTTGATTTGATTGAAATTCGTATCTTTTAACTTTGAGTTGGGTATTACTAAATGTTGTGAATCTGGTTGTGGTATGAGTAAGTGAGAAACTGAGAGAACTTTGGTTTTTTATAGTAGTGTGTGGAAGCATAAAGCCGGATTGTAAAATATTATATGCATGCTTTTTGACTCATTCAGAGTTATGTTAATAAACTCGATTAGAGGACAGAAAAGGGCAGCCCGGAGCACTAAGCTCACGCTACGCGCGGGGTTCGGGGAAGGTTCGGACCACTAGGGTCTATTTTATGCAGTCTTAAAGTAAAAATAAATAATATTCATTCACCTACACAAATAATTATAGGGAAAATGACATTATTGTATAACCGCTGTAAAAATAATAGCCGAAAAAATATACTATATATATACATTTTGTATGTTATATACAAAAATTATATATAATTTTTATATATTTTTTTTGGCTACCAGATGTAAATAGTTTCTGCCGCTTATATAACGTATTCCCTCCACCAACTTATGTGACAAAGTTTGAATCGGCATGAAGCTTTAACAAATGCAAATTTTGAAATCTGTGGTTTAAATGTACATAGTATTTATGTGCTTGTAAAACTTTTAAAACTTGTAGTCTTAAACATGTCACAATAACATTTATATAACTATAAAAATTTCTTATTGAAGGTAAAATAAAAAGTATAAAATTAATTATTTTCAAATATAGAAATATATCATTTATGTTTAGAATGAACTGATAAGAAAATATTGTCACATAAACAAGAATGGATAGAGTATCTCTTTAGGGCCTCTAGCTAGGGTTTAGTGTTAGCCCTTGCTATTTCATTAATTAAATTTAATCTCGTTTTAAAGAAAATAATGTAAGGAAATTAATTAAACTGTAATTTGAATTTCTGTTCTTTCTTGATTAGAATTTGAAATCAATCATGAGGGCACAGTACAGTTTGACTGAATATAATTAACACCTAAACCGATACACACACGTCCTAATTCTAAAGTTTCCTTTTTTGGGACTTTGAGCTTAGATTTGAAGAAAACAGGTGGCGTTTGTTTGATGTTTTTCAAACATTGAATTTGCAAATTCAGTTTATGAGCTTTTAGAAAGAAAAAAAAAAAAGTATTTTTCTTATTTTCTTTTTGCTATCCGGTAGCAGCATTGGAGCTCCAAACTCATTAAATTCATGTTGCATAAGCCTATTAGATAGGAAAGCGCTCCCTATCAAGAAAAAGGTTTGCTCATATTTTAATAGTTTCTTTTACTACTTTTAATTAGTATTCCATCTAGAGATCATCCAATTGGAACTATATGGGGGAGGCGTATCTAGCCTTATGGTACTGGGTTAATCTGAAACCAGTGCTTTTTGACGCGAAGCATAATTTATGTGTAAAAATTTATTAAAATTACAACAAATAGTAGATATGAATTCATAATTGGTTCAAGAAAAATAATAAAACTAATTGTTCATAATTGCAATTACCTAGTGCAGTTTGACTTGGAATAATAATGTTTCCACTACCTATTGTAAAACATTATAACTTTTCCACAAACGAAAAATGAAATACAAAAGGGAGAGGTGAGTTTTGGGGAATCTTGAATAAAAGGGGTCAGCCTTTTGGTATAACAAAGTTTTTGTTTACTATTACTCATTTGATGGCTTATATCTTCCTTATTGTATGCATGTTGATGGTAATTGTGATTTAGTACACAAGACCTAAGTTCTTTTCCTATGCCTTTATTTTCATTTGATTAAAAAATAAACTGTTAAACAGAAGTAAGCACTACAGTCAGATAAGCACTACAGTCAGATCTCCCTATAATAACATCTCAATATAATAGCCATTCACTATATATATAAGCTAAAAAAAATTCGGAACCGATTTTTATGTTATGTTATAGTATATGTCATCTATAATAGCACTTTACTATAGCAGCAAAAAAATATCGGAACAAACGAAATTATTATAGAGAGGTTTGACTGTATATATCAAAGTGAGGCTCTAACAATTTGAGTAGAGATGTATCACGAGTAATGTAGATTTGGACCTTGAAAAGACTTGTCTGTTTGGGTCACACACTAGTTATATAGAGATTATAATGTAGGATTAATTATTTATCCGGGAATTAACAATGAATAGATTGTTATATAATGACTATAACGAGAAGATTGTAATACTCAAATTACTTACTTTAAAAAAGTATTGTTGAATTTAAATAGTTTAATCCTCGTATTTTAATACACATATTATTATTTTATATTATATCTCGCATAAAATAATATATAGATTCTTTGATAACTTAATGCAAGTAATACAAAATACAGTCAACCAAATGTTCTACTAATTATGCACCGGCTAATGATTATTTTTTTCCTTGTGTGCTCAATCAAGATACTGTAGTATTTCATGCAAGATTTTATGTTGGAATTAATTATTCAAGCTATTAACCAAACTATCCTCGAGATAAAGAAATGTCAAAGTTAATTAATTAGTCTAGGAAGAGGAAAGCAAGGAGGTAATTCTTTCATGTACCCAAAAGTTTGTGTCATTCCCCCTTGACCATTTATTCTATATCTGACAATAATATAAGAGTACTTACATTGCTTTCCACTTGTTTGATGGGAAATTCTTTTGGTCAGGGGGGTATAAACATGGTGTAAAGAAAGGACTTTAACTTTTAACATACTTGACACTGTAAATGAATTTTCAAGCTAGCAAGTTATTTAAATAATAACTGTTGTTAATCGTTCACAAAAAATAAAATTAATAATTTGAATAGCAAAATAAATTAGTACTTACTATAACATATTAATATGCACTACTAATTTTACATCATCAATATATATAATTAAATAAATTATTTTTTGTTCTTTAGAGCGACGGTAAATTTGTCTCTGTGTGATCTAATGATCAGGGATCGAGCCGTAAAATCAGCTATTGATGATGGCATTAAGATAGGTCAGGGGCAAAGCTACACCATTCTAAGGACGGTCAACTGACTACCCTTGCGAGAAAATTACACTGTGTATGTAGGTTAAATATTATGTTTTAATATATTGAACAACCTTTGTCGGAAATTTTTTTTCCACTTCTTTCAAGTTTAAACGCTCTTGAAAAAATTTCTGGTTTCGCCACTGGGATAAGTTACCTACACCACACCCCTTAGGATGCGACTTTTTTACGATTCTACATAAATACGAGATATTGCGTGCACCAAATTGCTTTTTTAAATTAAAAAATATGTGGATAAGCATGAGAGGAGGAGTAGTTGAGGGTGTTCGAGATATAACAAAAAAGGGAGACAAAAAGGCAAGAAAAGTAGGAGGTAGAATATTGTTTTTGGTTTCACAAAGATGTGCTTTTAAGCTTTGACAGAGGATAGAGGACGTTCTTATTCAAAAGCGCAATCATTTTCCGGCGCAGTTGATTACGGAGAATGCCAGAAGAATAACTTATGTCCTAGATTAGATGGAATTCATACATTCTATCCTATTTTTAACTTATACATACTCTCGAGGTAAAAAAAAAAACGTTTACACTATCATATTGTTTTACTAATAATTTGCCATATTTTCAAAGGGTTTAAGTTCTATAATGTAAAAATATTTATACGATTATGTTCCTTATAAAGTACTCCCTCCGATTCAAAATAAGTGTTCACTTAACTATTTGCACACCCTTTAAGAAAATACTAATTCATAGAAGAAAAAAATAGATAATAGCTACTATTATGCTTAAGTCCGGATAATTTAGGACCCAAAAGCATGTTTTATGTGATGTTCTTATGACTCTATGATTAATTTGGGGATTTTCTCAAATCATGTTGAATGTGGCAGATGACTATATTAATTAACTTGATAGTGTAATGTTCTTTACACTATCAAGTTAATTAAAATTTCCTATTTAATTATATAATAGGAAATTGGAGTAATTTAAAAGACTTTTAGGGATATGTAAATAAGGCAGTTCTGGAAAAAAATAACGTTAATTCTTTCTTATTTTGGTAAGTGGACATTGAACCAACAAAAAATGGCTAAGTGGACACTCTTTTTGAACTTGGGGGGGGGGGGGGGGAGGGGGAGGGGGAATAATTGTAGGTAGATATCTTACATAGAACTAATGGTAAACTAATGAAAATCGTAACTAATTTGCTATACTATGTAACAATATATTGTTAATATGAAAAATTATTATATCGTCAATGCATATAACTTAAATTTATTTTTAAAATGGCAAACTCGCTCTTTATGGAAGATTAAATAACATCTTTTAGATAACTTGATAGTGTAAAGAACATTTATATTATTATTGATAAACTCATTGAAAGGGAGCCTAAACACAGTGATAAAAATTGGCCATATTTTGTTTAGAAATATAAATTAAAAGTGCGTACATAAGATCCAATACAATCGGCCAGAACATAGCCCAAATTTAGTGTACCGGACTACCTCCTTTTACGGTGATAACACATTCTACCTCTTTTATTCCCTTCCTATTATTTTGTTTGGGGTCCCAAGACACCTCTAAGAGAACCAAAGGTAAAAAAAACAGCCTTTTATTCTGTCTATTCCATTGTCCCTCCACTCAAACCGTGGGGGCCCAAAAAAATGAAAAAGAAGAGACTCTGCAACTGTTAAAACCATACACAGAGTTTGTTTGACCTTTATATGGTTGAAAACACAACACAACAACAGCACTGGTCCGATTTATTAGACCTATCATACCGTTGAAACATCGCTATTTTTCTATAAAAGCTCCAAGGTTTTTTTTAAGGATGTAATTGGTGTGAAAAAAATATTTCCCAAAAATAAGTTAATTTTGACAAATAAAAATATAAAAAAAAAAAAAGTAAAAGGAATAAAATGACTTTCTTTGCTTAGTTTTTCCTCTGATAGTCCTTTTTTGGTTTTTGAAAAATATTCTCCATTTTACAAAACACATCCTAAGTAGGCGTTTGGACATAAAAAATTGTAATTTTTGAGAAAAAAAAAAGTAGTATTTGGAATTAAATTGAAAAATGGTATTTGGAATTTGAAATTCTGTTTGGATATGCACTTCACTTGAAAAACTATTGTAGT